AGGGGGAGAAAACAGAGATTAAAGAGGGTGGCTGTGAGCGGAAGGGTAACACAAAGCATGGCTGGAGGGTAAAAAACCAGCCACTTGGACCGAATAACTGTGCATGGCCCAGCGACCGCCCCATGGCCTCGGCCATGGGCAGGCGCGTTCAAAGGCACACATGCACGCTCATTCCCTTCCCCACATCACGCACGCAACGTGCAGGGAAGGGTATGGACAACGCACCTTGCAGCGCGAGGTAGAGAACACGCTCGACGACCTCCTTGGACTCCTCGTGAACCAGATCGTGCACGAGCGACCGCCCCATAGCCTCGCCCACAGGCAGCCCCGTCAGCTCCGACACCTTGGCGTTCCAGCCGTTGATGCACCCGCTGGAATCAACGGCCAGGATGGGCGCCGTGGCTGTCTCAATCAGCCGCACCATCTCATTCGCAACGGTGCTGAGCTCGTCCATCCCCTGCAGCTTCAGGTCGTTCAGCCGCGCGTGGATCATCGTCTTGGTCTCCGAATCATCAATATCCTGGAAGCTGCCGCGGAGAATGAGCTGGAGAGAGTGGATAGCGTCCATCTCGACGTCCTCCCAGGGGAGCGAGCGCTGCTTGACGACCTCGAGGAACGCGGCGAAGGACGAGCGCGGGTGCATGCGCTTCGGGTCGTCCTTGTCTTCCGGGTTGTGCCTCTCGCCGCCCCACTTCACCTCCTTCTCCGCGTGCGACCGGAACCAGAACAGGAAATCCTTCTCGGTAATCCGCGCCGCCGCCATACCGCATACGGCGTTCCCGAGGGACTCCGCGTTGGGATACCCCGCGTCGGCCAGACTGTCCGTAGACAGACCAGTGGAGTCCTTATGCTGCTCGAGCAACCAAGATGCGATGTCCTGAATCTGCTGCTCCGTGGGGGTCGTCCCGAGCAGCCAGAACCGCCCGCCGTAGAAGAGAGCCGCGCCGTCGCACTTGACGAGATCCATGATGTTGGGCGACTGGGAGACAATCCCAATGGGTGCGTCGCGCAGCAGCATGTCGCAGAGGAGCGTCTGGGTGCGCAGAATGTGCTTCTCGCGCAGCTGAGCAGCCAGCTCGACCTCCATGTTCAACTGGAGGCCGAACACTTGCATGAGGAACTCGCAGGCAGAGCGCAGCGGGAAGGGCACGTAGCGGGGCGTGGAGTGGTGGCACACGACGAGACCCCAGAGCTTGCGGCCCTTGGACTGGCCGGCGGCGACGGCGTCCTCGTCGTTGTCGTTGATGATGACGGCCATGACGAGCGAGGCCGTGGAGCCCATGTTGCCCATGTACTTGAGATGGCACGGGTGCACGCCGCGCAGGGTGGAGCCCGCAAGAGAGATGGGCTGCTTGAGTGCGTCGCTCTGAATCACCGGCACCTGAGGATTAGAGAAGGTGTTGAGGCGGCAAGGGGGGGTAGAGAGGGTAGCGAGCAGGGGAGGAAGAAGGAAAAAGGAAAGGGAGAGCGGTGAGCAGGGAATGGGAAGCGTTGACAGAAACGAGGATGATGCCGTGATAGAGGGGCGATGGAGCCTATATTGCCCGTGGAGTTTCAGCTCTCAAGATAAAGAAGCTTGGTGCCCTTTGGACGTGCTCTTTTGAATGTGAACATAATGAATTCAGCGAATTGTATGCTTTCCCGTTTCCATTCAAGAGCCTTCAACCATCGAGCATTCTCAGAAACAAGCGTCCCTGAAATTGAGAATTGATCGAAAGTGGAGCGAAGTCTTAGATCAAGCAAACACGGTTCTTCATGCACAGAAACGGCAACGCCTGCGGAATAACGAGAGAAGAACTCGCACAAAGGCACTGCCAGTGGCCCACATACACACCGCTTTGCACCCATTCTCGCCACCCGCCTCGCGTCACTTACCGGAGAGGAGTTGCAGTCGCAGATCATGCGAACGCGATTCTTCATGAACAGGAAACGCGACGCCTGCGGGATGTCCGTCGCGGGGTAGTGCAGCCCGAGGTACGGCTCCATATCCGACCGTCGGATCTCCGCAATAACCTCGCCGTGCTCGTCCTCGTGGAACTTGTAAGTCATCACCCGGTCGTACCCGGTCAGCTCGCGAACCTCCTCCACGACGGCGTCGCACAGTAACCCGATGTCGCCACCGGGAAGGCCCTGCAGGCGCGAAATGGCCTTCGCCGCGAGCTTGTGCGACTGGAGCGCGCCGGCGGCGGTGACGGTCGGGTCGTTGGGGCGCACGGGCTCGAAGTCGATCACCAGGCCGACGTCAATGCGGTGCAGAACGGCGTAGAAGGGCTTCTGCGAGCCGCGGCACTGCACGGAGACGGGGTTCATCATGGACACGTCCTGCGCCGCCGCCGCCTTCTCGAGCGCCGAGACAGACGCGGGGGTGAAGAGCGTGCGCGCATCCGTACCGATGTCTGCAAGAGAGCGGGAAATGGAGCGAGAGAGATAAAGCAAAGACGAGAATGAGAGTCGCATCTACACACCAAGCATCAACTCACCAAGCAGGCCCTTAGAGCCAGTCGCATCTACTCACCAAGCAGGCCCTTAGAGCCAACAGTCGGCACAGCCTGCGGCAGCAGGTCGAGCATTTCCGGCGCGTTCTCGCTGTACGCAATCACCTTAAACGTCTCCTCCTCCACCGCAATCATGCACCCGAACGTCTGCGTAATCCCTCCGCGCTGCATGCGCTGCAGGTACGCCGTGATGGTGGTCGACGGCATGCTCTCGGCGCCGGTGCCGCGGCTAGCATCGACGGACTTGCTGTAGTCGAAGGTGTCCCCGGTGTTGGCGGAGTTCTCGAAGGCGGAGTGCAGCTGCGCGTCCGCCGTGGCCTGCGCCACGCGGATGTCGCGCTTGGACTTGTGCGAGCTTCCGCCCGACGAGCCGGACATGCGCGACGACATGGCGGGCAGATGCTTGGATACCGGAGAAGGTTAGAATGCGGTGACAAGAATTTGAGGCTGGTGAAATATTATGTGCGACGATGACGGATTGTAGTGAGAGTGTTGGAGCCTGGATGGATAGGAGCAACGTAAATGCGCGTATAAAAATGGGAGGCAAAACACAAGCAGGAAAGGAAGACGTATGGTGTTTTAGTGACTGTGTTAAGAATGAGTGGCAAGACGACCGTCATTCAAGGCAAACACGAGCGGCTGAATGAAAGGGACAACAGAAAGGAGCGATATTGTTAATGCCAAGCAAGCTGGAAACAGACGTCCTATGATTCCTACTTGGTTCCATGTTACTTTTCGTTTATTACTAGCACTCGAGTATCGCTGCAAGAGGCTGGATGAAAGGCCGATGAAAGGACAGGAAACCCAAGAACGGCGTACGGTTCCCAAACGATGACCGACACCAAAGCACTTACCAACACGGCTTAACGCAAATCGTAGACTACACATTAAGAGCAAGACATAGCATGCATCGTACCTAGTCCTTGCTGAGGAAAACGAGCTCCAGCCCTGCAACCTTCAGCTGGATGTTCTCTTGATTGCGACTAAAACAAGCAGACGGAAAAGCAAAAATAGAGATTTTTGCAGATTCAAAGGCAGAAAGCGATTCAGGGGGAGGGGAGAAAAGGGAGGACAGGCAGGTTGATAGGAGGAGGAAGCTGTTGTGCTCGGATATTTCGGTGAGCTCTTGTTCAATGCAGCTGTAACGACAGAAACTTATACAGGTTACGGTTCTCGTGGATTTCGCTTGCTTCGTCGTGTCCAATGGTTATCTTCGATTTTGCAGAGGGTTTGAACAGAACTCTCGAGATTTGCGTTTGAAATTACACGCGTCCCTGGGACTCGTGATTCACCCAATTCCCAAGGTGAGGTGAGGTGGCACGGGCAGTGACGGGAATGTGGGTTGGGCGGGTCAGCTGTTCACGCTGGAAGTGGGTGTTGGGTGGGTGGAGGGGTGGGGTGTGGGTGGAATGAAAATCACGATTCACACGGGGCTGACGGACTGCCAGCTGCACTGCCCGTGGATGTGGGCGGGAATTGCCTTCTGAAAAGACACGGGAGCTGTGGGAGCTGTGAACCACAACCAATCACAGAAGATGACGCTCGTGGAGTGACGATTACAGAATTAGTTCGCCACCAATCGAAAGTGGTTCTTTAGGTTACTGGTGCCGTGTGTTCTTCGCCAGCACCGCCTCTTGCCAGCAATCACGGCAGACATCTCGATAGGGAAAAGATCCAGTGATTCGACGGAGACCAATCAAAGGGAGGGTCTCTTGCCAGATCGCTGCCAACAGCTGACTGTCACGTGATGCCTTACGTCACGGATGCCCCAATCTACACCCAGAACTTGTTGCCAAGGCTGATGTGGCCAGAAACCAGTCACGACCATCGCTTTTTGGTTGTCGAACCAAGAACGAGCAAAATATCTGGCAGTTAACCAGCAATGCAAAGATAAAACAGCCCTAGAGTGAACAGTTCCCTGTCTGTCCAAAGTTATTCATTATACGCTCTTTTCAATGCGGAACAGATTGAGGTGATTATCCCATATATACTATGCATAATCAAAGGTTTGAGGAACGAAAGAAAGCCCTAGTTGATATCTTCACGGCTGAAACACAACTTGGTTGGAATGCAACCAAGGGAATAATCTTGTTGCGCTTCGAACACAACTGGTACCGACCCACCCATGGATAATGCAGTGAAACCAAGCAACAAAAGCAACATGAGCCCAAGCTCCTGTAGATCAGCACTACCAGTGTAGAAGAGGAAGCAACCCAAGGCCATGCTACCCTAAAGCATCTCAAAGAGGAAGCAGCCGGCCATGTCACTTGTAGGCAGCCAGAGTCACACAGAAGATTGTGTATGTAGAAACGTATGTATTACCGTATGCTTAGAGCAGAAGAACACGGTACTAACAGTGTAATAAAAGCCTGCTGTTGGTGAGCAGTAGAAGCAACAGGTGGGTAAACAGACTGGCAGGCTACAGCCCATGCAAGTGACCGAGGGCCAATGAAAGTGATACAAATAATCAGAGCAGCGGCAGAGGGTAACAAAAAGCAGGAGACGCTAGAGGGCAGCGGGGGGGTAGTAGTTGCAGACGAGGAACTGAGCCACCCCGGTGAAGTTGGCCTTGTAGGGACAGAGCGCCTGGCGAGGGAAGGGGAGGGACGGGGCGTGGGATGGGAGAGGGGACGACATCGGCAGCGGGTAAAGCAGAGCAGCAGGGGGATAGCAGTTTCAGACAAGGAACTGAGCCAGCCCGGTAAAATTGGCCTTGCAGGGACAGAGAGCCTGTTGGGCGGGGTGGGGCAGGTATGGTGGAAGGGACGGGGGGAAGGACGGAGGGAGGGATGCGGGAAAGGGACGCGGGTCGGAAGGGGGAAGAGGTGTGTGGAAGGGAGCAGGGACATAGTAGGAGGAGTGGTGCAGGGAGCAGTGATAGTGACCACATGTGTAAGGAGGAAATAGAGAGAGAGGGAGAGATACCGGTAGAAGCAAGCAATGCACCTTGCCATACCCCACTCTTCTCGTCTCTTTCCATATAAGCTGAATGAATCCATGCATGCGCTACTGCGAGTGATGGTGACAACGTGTATGAGGAGGAAAGAGGGAGAGAGGGAGAAAGGTAGGCCAGGAGGAAGCAGCAACGCACCTCACCACACCCCACTCTTCTTGTGTCTCGCCATGTGAGCTGAATGAATGCATCGCACTCCGCCCCTTGCACACACGCCCCTGTGCTGCTGCTGTAGTGCTTGCCCTGGCGAGTGGACGGAGGTCAATGAGAGGTCAACGGGAGTCAATGGGAGGGTCAATGGGGGTCAATGGGGTCAGCATAGACAGCACAGTAGGACATCCTGTACTCTAGAGGACCTGCTCCCTCCACCACTCCCCACCCCTCTCAAATTCTCCACCCCTCTTCTACCCACTTTAACCACCCATCGCCCCCTGTCATTACACTTCCACCAACCCACTCATCCATCCTTCTTTGTCGTTTCGTCCCCACCATCCCTCTCCCTCCGAACCGCGTCTTGCCTGTCTCCTCCTCCATTTCCTTCCCCTCACTCACCCCCAGACCTTCTTCCTCTGCACTGCACACGCTTCAACCGCCTCTGTGACACTGAATAACGCCTCCTCCTCCGTCTCCACCGCCGTCCACAGATACACCTCCCCAAGGCCCACCTGTCTTGTCGCTTTCTCCCCCCGAATCCCTCTCCTTCCGCCACGCCTCTTGATTTCTCCTCCCTTTTTCGCTTCCCCCCCATCCCCCCACCCTCCTCCCCTCTCCACCAACTCCTCCCCTTCCCCTCTTCCCCTCCCCCGTTCCTCTACCCACCTGTCTCATCATCTCACCTGCGCTGCCCACGCTTCAACCGCCTCTGCAGCGGTGAATAACGCCTCCCCCTTCTCCACCGCGGCCCAAAGATACATCTCCCCCGCGGCCCACAGATAGACCTCCCCCGCGGACCACAGATACACCTCCCCCAGACCAGGACCGCCCGCCTATATCAGTTGCTCCCGCATTCTCACCTGCTCCGCCCACGCTTGAACCGCCTCTGCAGCGGTGAATAACGCCACCCCCTTCTCCACCGCGGCCCACAGATAAACCTCCCCCAGGCCCGCCTCCCCCGCCGCCTCGTTGGCTTCTGGGCGGCATTGCGCGTTGGCACCCACTGAATCCGCGTGTGCTTGGGCAAAGCGGGCTAGAGCGGGGTCCCAGAGGAGAGGGGGGAGAGGAGAGTGCATGTGCCTGATTCTGTTGTGTGCCACCACCCATTCCCGCACCCGCCGAATATCGTACGTCTCAAACCCTGCCAGCCTTCTCCTTCTAGCTGACGATTCTCCGGCCTCCACTGCTGTGATTTTGTCGGATACAGTCACGGTTTCCGATTTTGTAACGTCTGCTACAGAGAAATGTGGTGCCTTTGAACCACTGGGTGGTGTGCTGCTCCCGACTGAAACGGCAAATCCTGAAAGAAAACGTGGGACCCTCTTTGTGCCTGCTTCGGAAACGTGGGAGAGAAAATAAAAGAGATGGATGCGAAACTCTCTTGGGGGACATTGGAAGATTTACGAGTTCCAGAAAACGTTTTAAACGCATTCGATATCATTCTTGCTTGCCTTGCCTGGATCTGCATGTTGATGAATTTTGTCCGTTGATTCTTCCCGCATTCTTATTCTAACCGTCGAATGGGCCGATTCCGAAACGTACGGGAAGGCGTGTCTCGCTACAGTAACATGAGCCAGGGAGAGCAGCAAGACAAACGCCAGTAACGAGTCGCTTCGTACTGAGACATCACGAACTCCCCGTGAAACTTCCACGCACACGAGGCCCATTAGGGTTCGGTAACTGGTTGAAAAACAATTCGTGGCTGGAACGATCGGGAAAAGACAGGGAATCGGCAATCAGATCACTAAGTAGCTGCAGATCTAATTGGTATCATTTTTCCAGTTGCGCATTCATCCCTAACTCCTTGAAACTCCTACGTCCCTCAGTAACACAAAAAGGCCATGGCTCCCTGAAAGTACTGCGTTTCGCAAGGATCAATGAAATAGTCTAGACGTTGGAGCAAGGGAGTGCAGAATCGGCAATGCCGAGGAAAACACCAAGCTTCTGCTGCTATGGCTGTGGTAGCGCTTCGAATCCGAAGATGTGGCGTGCACAGCTGGGTGGGAAGGAAGGAATGACGATATAATATCGAAGCTCTCTGGTAATGATCTGCAACCGTATTGTAAACCCGCTTATGGTTTCTGCAACCTGCAGCACCAGCTCTGATCGTTCAAGAATGGCCTTCGGGGAGTGTTAGATCCTCGTTATATCGCGTCCAAATCCTCGTTACATCGCGATCATGAATAAGCAATTGTGGTTTGAGGTGTGGTTTAGACTTGCAGATGGCAATGCAGATGATGAAATGTAAGTAACTACCCTGCAACATTCCTTGCAATGTGGAGATTGCAGTCAGCATCCCAAAGCACCGTCACGTACACCAAAGCAGATAACCAAATGGGTGATAATGTTGAAGGATAGTGTCATTTCATTACATTACTGAACAAAGTTATGAAAAAATGGTCACTACGTCCCTACGATATCCCCGCACCATAAGCAACCTAGGTACACCATCCACAAGCCTGTCCATATACTCCATATAACAATAAGGGGGATGATGAGCAGGCGGTGGGGGCAAGCTGACAAGCACCAACGCCGCCATCTTAGAGTATCTTTTAATAATCGAATTCAGCTTAATCGTGGTGTACAAAAACTTATTTATCTGACCCTCATCGAAAACCTTTTCCTTGGACTTGCCTCCCCCAGGTCCGGGCAAATGCTGCTTGGTTCGGTGCTGCCTTTGAATGTTTGCACCTGGGCTCGGGCCATTAGTTTCTGTAGATGCGTTACGATGCATGTGAGTATTTGCCTCCATCATCTTGGCTATGTTCGTTCGTGCCTGTTACAAAAAACGTGGAGAGGGTAGGGGAAGGGGAAGGGGAAGAGTAATTGTGCATGACATTGTACGTATGTGTGTGCATGTACGCATGAGAGTGTACGTATGTGTGTGCATGTGCGCATGAGAGTGTACGTATGTGTGTGCATGTGCGCATGAGAGTGTACGTATGTGAGTGCATGTGCGCATGAGAGTGTACGTATGTGTGTGCATGTGCGCATGAGAGTGTACGTATGTGTGTGCATGTGCGCATGAGAGTGTACGTATATGTGTGCATGTGCGCATGAGAGTGTACGTTGTGAGAAGAAAAGGTAGAAGAGAAGTTGATGGATTGATTGAAAGGATGGGGGGTTTACATAGGAGATGAGTTGGAAACTAGCCTAGGTGAACATTATTGGACCCCAACCAAGGAGTTGGGTTGGGAGATTATTGGTGGGGTCCAATAATGTTGGCCAAGTTGGAGTTGGGCCAACATTATTGGAGGGGACCAATAATTCTACCCATCCCAACCCTTGGGGTCCAATAATTGGACCAAGGTTGGGTTTCCAACCTACAAATTGGGTAACCCCTGCTTGTACACCCAAACTAAGTTTGGGTGCTTATCTCTAGCCTATCCTATAGCATATATGCAGGTTACAAGAGAGGAGATATTCTAACACAACCCCTTAACCTGCAGAGATGCGGAAAGGCTGGAGAGCAGCAACCCCTGAATCAAGGCGCTCCTGGAGGAGCGAGGCCAATGAGGCGGAGGAGAGCAGAGTGCGCGGGGCGAAGAAGTGCTTTGGTGAAGATATCCGCCAAATTGGCTTCAGTGGCGATCTTGCGGACGGCGATAAGATTCTGTCGGACGAGGTCGCGGATGAAGAAATAACGGAGCTCGATATGCTTGGAGCGACCATGAAAGACTGGATCCTGGGTGAGGTGGATGGTGCTGGCGTTGTCACACCAGAGCGTGGGACAGCGCTGGGGGGCACCAAGCTCTGCCAGAAGAAAGCAGAGCCAGCGGGACTCTTGAGCGGCCATGGTGCCCGCATAGAGCTCAGCTTCGCAGGAAGAGAGAGCGATGGCGGAGGAGCGGGTGGAACGCCAGCTGATAAGTCCGCTGCCGAGGGTAAAGCCATAGCCTTGGGAGGAGCGGCGGTCTGGCTGATTGTCTGCCCAGGAGGAGTCACTGAAGCCCGAGAGAAGGGGAGGGGAGGATCCACCCAGTGTGAGAGCGTGATCCTTGGTGCCGCAGAGATAGCGAAGGACCCGCTTGGCGGCAGCCCAGTGTTCCTCAGTGTGACGGCCAGAGCCGACGAACCGAGCAAGGACGCTGACAGGGTAGGCGAGGTCGGGGCGGGTGCACATCATCGCGTACATCAGCGACCCAACGAGCTCGGCGTAGGGCCGGGAGGAGGAGGAGGGGGAGGTGGGTGGCGCAAGTTGGTGACCGAAGGGGAGGGGGGTGGAGACTGGTTTGGCCTGCGCCATCTCAAACCTCTCCAGGACCTGGCCGATGTAGTGGGACTGGGAGAGAGTGATGGTGCGGGCGGATCGATCACGGGTGATAGCCATGCCGAGGTAGTTCTGGAGGGGACCAAGGTCCTTGCACTTGAGTCGTTCCTGAAGTGACCGCTTCATCTGGTCCATGTCGGCCCTGGAATCCGCCAGCAGGATCATGTCGTCAACGTAGACCGAGATGAAAAAGCGACTGGGGGAAGAGCGGATGAAGAGGCTGGCGTCGGAGTGGGAGGGGGAGAAGCCAAGGGACTGGAGAGTAGCAGATAGCTTCGCATGCCATTCTCGTGGTGCCTGCTTCAGGCCATAGACCGGTCGCTTCAGCTGCCAGACGGTGTTGTCGGGGAACTTAGCATGGAACCCGGGAGGTCGGCGGAGAAAGATGCGTTCGTGCAGTTCACCTTGCAGGAAAGCGTTGGAGACGTCCATGGAGTCAATCTCCATGTCGTCTCTTGCACCGATGTCAAGAAGGGTGCGTAGGGTGGCCTGCTTGACGGTGGGGGCGAACGTGAACCAGTAGTCCTCAGCCCAGGTCTGGGTGAACCCCTTGGCAACGTAGCGGGCTTTGTAGACTGGTTCTTCTCCCGGCAGCTGCTTGACTCGAAAGATCCACTTGCCCTCAACCAGGTTGGCGTCAGGAGGGAGGGGAACGTCAATGAAGGAGTTATTGTGGATGAATGCTTCACATTCCTGAAAGATGGCGGCTATCCACTTATCGGCGTCAGGGCAGGTGATAGCCTCTTGGAAAGTGGAGGGGACGAAGATGGTGGGAGCGGGGATCGCGCTAAGGAGTAGGGCGCCGAGGAGGTCAGGGGAATTTACTGTGAGAGAGGGAGTGTGGCGCCGGACCATGGTGAACTCCTCATGGGAGTCCTCCAGTTGGTTGAGGGAGGGAGGAGACGGTGCACCAAGGATGGGGTCAAGGGAGCGGGTGTGCATGCGAGGGAGGAGGAAGGGTGAGGAGCGGGCAATTGCCCTGCGCCGCTGCTGCTGCTGGTGCTGCTGGAACCCCTGCTGCTGCTGCGGCTGCTGCCCCTGCTGCTGCTGCTGCGGCTGCTGTTGCTGTTGTGGCTGCTGCGGCTGCTGCTGCTGCCGCTGCTGGTGCTGCCCTTGCTGCTGCTGCGGCTGCTGCTGCTGTTGCTGCTGCTGCTGCTGCTGCTGCTGCTGCTGCTGCTGCTGCTGCTGTTGCTGCTGCTGCTGCAGCTGCTGCTGCTGCCCCTGCTGCCGCTGCTGCCGCTGCTGCTGCTGCTGCTGCTGCTGCTGCTGCTGCTGCTGCTGCTGCTGCTGCTGCTGCTGCTGCTGCTGCTGCTGCTGCTGCTGCTGCTGCTGCTGCTGCTGCTGCTGCTGCTGCTGCTGCTGCTGCTGCTGTGATGGATGAGGAGGGGAGTGGGAAGGGGAGGGGGGAGGGGGAGCCGTGGAGTGTGCGGGGGAGGCAGGAGCAGTGGGATCGTAGACGTCGGCGGATGAAGGTGGCGGAAGCGGGGTGGGGAGGGGTGGGAGAAGAGGTGCCGGAGGGAGGAGGGGAGGGAGGACGGTGTCGGCCCAAGCGAGAGGACGTGCGGGAGGAGGGAGGGGGTCTGGTGGTGGGGAGGAGTAGTACGGGGTGGTCTCATCGAACACAACGTCAATGCTGCGGATGAGGCGACCAGAGGGAGGGTGAAGGAAGAGGTAACCAGGCGAGTCGCGGTTGTGTCCGAGGTAGACACACTCGAGGGCGCGAGGAGCGAGCTTGCCTTGGGTGCGGTCGGGTGGAGGAATAAGCACATATGCCTTGCAACCCCAGACACGGAGACCGGCAGCGTCAGGTTTGGTTCCTGACCAGAGCTCCGTGGGGGTAGCGGCAGTGTGTTGGGGATGGGAGTGAAGGTTGAGGAGGAGGGCAGCATGGAGGAGGGCATAGCCCCAGAGAGAGGGAGGGGTGGAGGCGTGAGCAAGGAGACAGCGGGCGATCTTAGTGATTTCGCGAATGCGGCTTTCTGCAACGCCGTTCTGCTGTGGGGAGTGGGGAAGAGTGTGGGTCTGTTGGATGCCATGGGTGGCGCAGTAGTGAGAGAGAGTGCGGTTGAGGAATTCGCCTCCCCCATCAGAGTGGAGGCGGCCGATGGGACGTTTGAAGTGGGTGCGGCATTGCTCTGCCCAGTTAATGATAATGGTCGGCGCCTGGTCTTTGGTGTGGAGGAGGAAAATGGAGGAGTAGCGGCTGTGATCGTCAACAAGAACCAACATGTAGCGATGGCCTTGGCGTGAGCGGGTGGGAGAGGGCCCCCAGAGGTCCATATGGACAAGGTCAATGGGTGCAGGAGCGAAGGATGGGTGGCTGTGGTGAGGAGATTGTTTGAGTTTGCCGTGGATGCAGGAGGGGCATGGGGGGGCTGGGGAGGAGGGAAGGGGAGGAAGAGTTGGAGGGAGGCTGTGGAGAAGTCGTGAGGTGACGGCAGTGCGGAGAGCGGCAAAATTCGGATGGCCGAGTCGGTGATGTAGGAGAACAGCGGGGTGGGAGAGATGGTCGGAGGTGGAGGGGATTGGAATGAGTGAGGAAGGGATGGAGGAGTGGGGAGGAGACGGAGTGGGAGGAGAGGGAGGGAGATGGGGAGGGCTGGTGGAGGTACCCGCACGAGTGGTAACATGGCAGGAGGATGGCCACGGAGTGCGGAGAGTGTAGAGGCGAGTGCGAGGGCAGAGGGGTATGCGGAGGAGGAAGCGGCCGGAGGCAGTGTGGTAAAGGTCACAGTAGGTGGCATTACCAGGATAGACGGCAGTGATACCTGCACCTTGGATTTCACGGTGGGAGAGGAGGTTGTTTCGGAGAGTGGGGATGTGGAGACCAGTTACCTTGCCAGAGGGGAAGAGTGAACAGGGGAGAGTGGAGAGGTGTGTGCATGGGATGGTGAAGCTGCTGTCAGCACCGTGAACTTGAGTGGGAGGGGAGAGGGGTGTGAGTGTACCAGCGTCTTTGAGGGCGGTCTCAGTGGCCCCACTGTCAAGGACAAAGTCCAGAGTGGGTGAGGAGGAGGAGGAAGACACTGAGTACTGGAAAGTGGTTTCATTAATGTTGGATGGGTACATGGAAGGAAGAGAGGGCGAAATAGCTATGTTGCCAAGGAAGCTCTCGTGAGTGAGAGGGGTGGCAGTGCTACTGGGGGGGGGTGGGGCACCCCAAAGGGGGGCAGGTGAGGCTTGAGCGGCCATGGCTGCTGTGCCAAAGTTCAACTGCTGCTGCGGCCAGGGAGGAGGGCTGGGTCCCCACTGTGGCTGGGGTCCTGACCCCCATGGGTGCTGCGGCGGCTGTGGCTGCTGCTGCTGCTGCGGCTGAGGGTGAAACAGCTGCTGTAACTGCTGCTGCTGCTGCTGCTGGAGGTGCTGCTGCTGGAGGTTGAGGAAGGGTGTGGGGGGAGCAAGGAGGCGGAGGTGGGCTGGGAGGTAGGCTGGATTGGTTTGGATATCGGTGGGGGAGGGGCGTGGGGAGATGTTGCCCCACTTTGGAGGAGTGCCAACGTTACCCCGCGCGTACCAGGCATCGTCGAGAGCCTTGAAGCACGTGCCAGGGGGATGGTTGGTCTGTCCGCAGGGAGTTCCAGCCCGAGGACCATAGCGGCGGACATAGGTGCAGGGAGGAAGCGTGCCAGGGCGACTCCCGCGACTTGCAGTGGGTCCACCCGAAGTGGTGGTGCCGTGCTCATCCCCAGTGGTGCCACCACGGTTGTTGCTGCTTCCCGAACCACCACCTCCCTTGCCCCCACCTCCTCCTTTGCCGTTGTTCTTTCCCTGCTTGCGAGGCTGGGTAGCGTTGAGGGAGGAGGAGGTGGGTTGGGAGGAGGCGAGGTTGACGATGGGTGTACGGAGTTTAACTTCGGTGTCGATAATCCACTGTTCAACGGAGGCGAGACCGGCCATGGGATTGGCTTCGGTAAAGGCGTGGAGGCGGGATTCGTAGTCTGGGGTGAGGTTAAAGAGGAGGCGGTGGATTTGAAGAGGTTCGGAGAGGCCGGCCTGGCGGGCTTCGAGGCGATCAGCTACCTCGCGCATGCGTCCGACGTAGTCGACTGCTCCGTCACAGGTGGCGAGGGTGATGGAAAAATACTCTTGGAAGAGGATGCCGACGGAGCTGATGTCGCGGCGCTCAAACATGGCATGGAGTTCTGCCCAGATGACCGAGGCACGGAGTTCCCGAGCCTGGAAGCGACGCATGAGGGAGTCAGGGAGAGCTCCAAGGAGAACGGTGCAGGCACGGGTGTCAGCAGCTGTCCAGGCGATGAGTCTGGGGGTGAAGTCAGCCATGTCGACCTTGTATTTGGCGACGACCTCGAGGTGAGCGTCGCGACCAGCAACCGCCTGATCATAGGCCTCAACTGCAGCATCGTACTCGGCTTTGCGGATGAGGTATTCACGGCGGCGTAGGATAAAATCAGTGTCCGCAGTGGCTTGGTCGGGGGTGATCTGAAGATCGGGTTCACGAGGAGGGTCGCCTGGAGTAGGAGGAAGAGGAGGAGTCTCGCCGAGGTGGGGAGGTTCGGTGGGGGGGAGGGCATGGGGGCGGCGGAGGATGACGTCAAGGACACGGTAGGGGGGAACCCATGCGTCGGAGAGAACGCGTCGGATGCTGCCGACGAAGGAGTGCCAGTTGACTGCGGACTTGTCCGCGGCGAGCTGGAGCTTATCAATGGAGGACGTATCAATAGGGGGAGGAAGTGGGGAGGGGGAGGGTGTAGGAGTAGCCATGATGGACGGCTGCAGGTGGACCCGCAGTGGTCACGGAGGAGCAACGGCGACGAGGCCGCGGGGGGGGGGGGGGGGGGGGGGGGGGGGGCGCGGGCAGCAGCGGCTGGCGAGGCCGCGGCGGTTGGCGCGGAGGCGGCGTTGAAGCCGCGGAGGGGTGCGGACGGCGGCGGCTGGCGAGGCCGCGGCGGTGCTGGCGGGGAGGCGGCGTCGAGGCCGCTGGAGGGGAAGGCGCGGGCGGCGGCTGGCGAGGCCGCGGCGGCTGGCGCGGAGGCGGCGACGAGGCCGCGGAGAGGCGCGGGCGGCGGCTGGCGAGGCCGCGGCGGCTGGCGCGGAGGCGGCGACGAGGCCGCGGAGAGGCGCGGGCGGCGGCTGGCGAGGCCGCGGCGGCTGGCGCGGAGGCGGCGACGAGGCCGCGGAGAGGCGCGGGCGGCGGCTGGCGAGGCCGCGGCGGCTGGCGCGGAGGCGGCGACGAGGCCGCGGAGAGGCGCGGGCGGCGGCGGTTGGCGAGGCCGCGGCGGTGCCGACGCGGAAGCGGCGACGGGGTCGCGGGAGGGAGCGGCGCGAGCGGCGGCGGCTGGCGAAGCCGCGGCAGTGCAGGCGCGGAGGCGGCGACGAGGCCGCGAGAGGGAGCGGCGCGAACTGCGGCGCTGGCGAGGCCGCGGCAGTGCAGGCGCGGAAGCGGCGACAAGGCCGCGGGAGGGAGCGGCGCGAGCGGCGGCGGCTGGCGAAGCCGCGGGAGTGCTGGCGCGGAAGTGACGACGGGGTCGCGGGAGGGAGCGGCGCGAGCGGCGGCGGCTGGCGAAGCCGCGGCAGTGCAGGCGCGGAGGCGGCGTCGAGGCCGCGGAAGGGAGCGGCGGCGGCGACGGCGGCCGCAGTGGCGTTGGCGCGGAGGCGGCGTCGAGGCCGCGGGATGGGGCGGGCGGTGGCGGTCGGCGGGACCGCGACAAGGCGAGCGCGGAAGCGGCGGTGGGGCCGCGAGCCGTGATGGCGTGGGAGGCCGTGGGGCTGCGAGGAAGGGAGTGCTTGAGGAGAGGGGGAGGGTGGCGAGATAGCCGCGGAGAAATGAGAGAGGAGGCCGGGGGTTGCGGCGGCCTTTGAAAAAAAACTAGGAGCGTAGGCCTAGGATTTTTAAGAGCTCTATACCATGTGAGAAGAAAAGGTAGAAGAGAAGTTGATGGATTGATTGAAAGGATGGGGGGTTTACATAGGAGATGAGTTGGAAACTAGCCTAGGTGAACATTATTGGACCCCAACCAAGGAGTTGGGTTGGGAGATTATTGGTGGGGTCCAATAATGTTGGCCAAGTTGGAGTTGGGCCAACATTATTGGAGGGGACCAATAATTCTACCCATCCCAACCCTTGGGGTCCAATAATTGGACCAAGGTTGGGTTTCCAACCTACAAATTGGGTAACCCCTGCTTGTACACCCAAACTAAGTTTGGGTGCTTATCTCTAGCCTATCCTATAGCATATATGCAGGTTACAAGAGAGGAGATATTCTAACATACGTATGTGTGTGCATGTGCGCATGAGAGTGTACGTATGTGTGTGCATGTGCGCATGAGAGTGTACGTATGTGTGTGCATGTGCGCATGAGAGTGTACGTATGTGTGTGCATGTGCGCATGAGAGTGTACGTATGTGTGTGCATGTGCGCATGAGAGTGTACGTATGTGTGTGTATGTGCGCATGAGAGTGTACGTATGTGTGTGTATGTGCGCATGAGAGTGTATGTATGCATGTGTGTGAATCCACCCACCCGAGTAAACGCCTCCATGGCACCCTGCCTCGCCAGCTCAGCCTCGGGTCCATCCTCATCCCCCACCACGTCCTCCCATGCCCTCATCGTCACCACCACCACATCCGCCTGTACAGGCAAGGGAGGGGTGTAGACACGGGTGGGGATATCAGCGTAGGGATGTGAATAGCTCAGCCTCCCTCCAATCCATCCTCATCCCCCACCCACCACGTCCTCCCATGCTCTCATCGTCACCACCACCACATCCGCCAGCAAACACGAGGGGGGGGGTGTCAGACTCTTCCTTTTTTAATGGGAAGAGGTGTCACTGACGTGACTTTTTTATTGAGTCGACTCAGAAGTCTTCTTGGGAAGAGATGTCACTGAGAGGATTTTAATTGGCCACAGGCCCCTCCTCTCCTCGTCCTCCACCCATCATCACGTCCTCCCATCCCATGCTCTCACTGTCTGTCACCCCCACCACATCCGCCTGAATAAACAAAGGGACAAAGGGAAGGGGTGTCAGTAGGAATTGTCTAAGGCGCTGTGAGCAACTGGTAACTGATAACCATGCAGAGTCATTCTGCAGCACCACTCTGAACCATTCTGAACCGCTCTGTGCCATTGTGAACCACCTCAAGGCACTCTGAACCACTCTGTGCCCACCTGCATGCGGAGGTCGTGCAGAAATTGAGCCACGTCTAGTTGCAATGTCTCTGCTGTCCCATCATCCTCTGCAATGCAAAACACCTGGAGCAAGGGATGAGGGAAGGGGAAATGAGTGTGTGTGAGTGGCCTTTTGAGGCGCCTCAAAAGAAGAAATGTCTCTGCTGTCCCATCGTCCTCTGCAATGCTGCAAAACACCTGGAGCAAGGGACGAGGGGTAGATGCAAGGAAGGAACTAGATGAGTGTGAGAGTGTGTGTGCATGTGTGTGTAAGGGATTTTAGGCACTTAGACAGCCAGCTTTCAACGTCTCTGCAGTTTCCTCGCCTTGCAATGCAAAACAAAACACCTGAATCAAGGGAGAGGGAAGGGGAAATGAGTGTGTGTGAGTGGGGGACAGCAGCAGCTGTGTTGGCAGCCAGATGGAGAGAAGGGGGCATCAAACACCCACGAAATCACGCAACATGAATTCCATCCCACCCCACAATCATCTTGCAGGTATCAAAAGTGGACCAGGATCGCACATCGCAACAGTGAATTCACATCACCAGAATTCCATCCCACCCCACAATCATCTTGCAGGCGCCAAAGGTAGGTCGGGACCTGAGCAGCTGGGACAGCAGCAGCTGTGATAGGCAGCCAGATGGAGAGGAGGAGGGGAATCAGCCACCCATGAATTCACATCACCCACCCATGAATTCACATCACCCACCCATGAATTCACATCACCCACCCATGAATTCACATCACCCACCCATGAATTCACATCACCCACCCATGAATTCACATCACCCACCCATGAATTCACATCACCCACCCATGAATTCACATCACCCACCCATGAATTCACATCACCCACCCATGAATTCACATCACCCACCCATGAATTCACATCACCCACCCATGAATTCACATCACCCACCCATGAATTCACATCACCCACCCATGAATTCACATCACCCACCCATGAATTCACATCACCCACCCATGAATTCACATCACCCACCCATGAATTCACATCACCCACCCATGAATTCACATCACCCACCCATGAATTCACATCACCCACCCATGAATTCACATCACCCACCCATGAATTCACATCACCCACCCATGAATTCACATCACCCACCCATGAATTCACATCACCCACCCATGAATTCACATCACCCACCCATGAATTCACATCACCCACCCATGAATTCACATCACCCACCCATGAATTCACATCACCCACCCATGAATTCACATCACCCACCCATGAATTCACATCACCCACCCATGAATTCACATCACCCACCCATGAATTCACATCACCCACCCATGAATTCACATCACCCACCCATGAATTCACATCACCCACCCATGAATTCACATCACCCACCCATGAATTCACATCACCCACCCATGAATTCACATCACCCACCCATGAATTCACATCACCCACCCATGAATTCACATCACCCACCCATGAATTCACATCACCCACCCATGAATTCACATCACCCACCCATGAATTCACATCACCCACCCATGAATTCACATCACCCACCCATGAATTCACATCACCCACCCATGAATTCACATCACCCACCCATGAATTCACATCACCCACCCATGAATTCACATCACCCACCCATGAATTCACATCACCCACCCATGAATTCACATCACCCACCCATGAATTCACATCACCCACCCATGAATTCACATCACCCACCCATGAATTCACATCACCCACCCATGAATTCACATCACCCACCCATGAATTCACATCACCCACCCATGAATTCACATCACCCACCCATGAATTCACATCACCCACCCATGAATTCACATCACCCACCCATGAATTCACATCACCCACCCATGAATTCACATCACCCACCCATGAATTCACATCACCCACCCATGAATTCACATCACCCACCCATGAATTCACATCACCCACCCATGAATTCACATCACCCACCCATGAATTCACATCACCCACCCATGAATTCACATCACCCACCCATGAATTCACATCACCCACCCATGAATTCACATCACCCACCCATGAATTCACATCACCCACCCATGAATTCACATCACCCACCCATGAATTCACATCACCCACCCATGAATTCACATCACCCACCCATGAATTCACATCACCCACCCATGAATTCACATCACCCACCCATGAATTCACATCACCCACCCATGAATTCACATCACCCACCCATGAATTCACATCACCCACCCATGAATTCACATCACCCACCCATGAATTCACATCACCCACCCATGAATTCACATCACCCACCCATGAATTCACATCACCCACCCATGAATTCACATCACCCACCCATGAATTCACATCACCCACCCATGAATTCACATCACCCACCCATGAATTCACATCACCCACCCATGAATTCACATCACCCACCCATGAATTCACATCACCCACCCATGAATTCACATCACCCACCCATGAATTCACATCACCCACCCATGAATTCACATCACCCACCCATGAATTCACATCACCCACCCATGAATTCACATCACCCACCCATGAATTCACATCACCCACCCATGAATTCACATCACCCACCCATGAATTCACATCACCCACCCATGAATTCACATCACCCACCCATGAATTCACATCACCCACCCATGAATTCACATCACCCACCCATGAATTCACATCACCCACCCATGAATTCACATCACCCACCCATGAATTCACATCACCCACCCATGAATTCACATCACCCACCCATGAATTCACATCACCCACCCATGAATTCACATCACCCACCCATGAATTCACATCACCCACCCATGAATTCACATCACCCACCCATGAATTCACATCACCCACCCATGAATTCACATCACCCACCCATGAATTCACATCACCCACCCATGAATTCACATCACCCACCCATGAATTCACATCACCCACCCATGAATTCACATCACCCACCCATGAATTCACATCACCCACCCATGAATTCACATCACCCACCCATGAATTCACATCACCCACCCATGAATTCACATCACCCACCCATGAATTCACATCACCCACCCATGAATTCACATCACCCACCCATGAATTCACATCACCCACCCATGAATTCACATCACCCACCCATGAATTCACATCACCCACCCATGAATTCACATCACCCACCCATGAATTCACATCACCCACCCATGAATTCACATCACCCACCCATGAATTCACATCACCCACCCATGAATTCACATCACCCACCCATGAATTCACATCACCCACCCATGAATTCACATCACCCACCCATGAATTCACATCACCCACCCATGAATTCACATCACCCACCCATGAATTCACATCACCCACCCATGAATTCACATCACCCACCCATGAATTCACATCACCCACCCATGAATTCACATCACCCACCCATGAATTCACATCACCCACCCATGAATTCACATCACCCACCCATGAATTCACATCACCCACCCATGAATTCACATCACCCACCCATGAATTCACATCACCCACCCATGAATTCACATCACCCACCCATGAATTCACATCACCCACCCATGAATTCACATCACCCACCCATGAATTCACATCACCCACCCATGAATTCACATCACCCACCCATGAATTCACATCACCCACCCATGAATTCACATCACCCACCCATGAATTCACATCACCCACCCATGAATTCACATCAGCCCCCATGAATTCACATCACCCACCCATGAATTCACATCACCCACCCATGAATTCACATCACCCACCCATGAATTCACATCACCCACCCATGAATTCACATCACCCACCCATGAATTCACATCACCCACCCATGAATTCACATCACCCACCCATGAATTCACATCACCCACCCATGAATTCACATCACCCACCCATGAATTCACATCACCCACCCATGAATTCACATCACCCACCCATGAATTCACATCACCCACCCATGAATTCACATCACCCACCCATGAATTCACATCACCCACCCATGAATTCACATCACCCACCCATGAATTCACATCACCCACCCATGAATTCACATCACCCACCCATGAATTCACATCACCCACCCATGAATTCACATCACCCACCCATGAATTCACATCACCCACCCATGAATTCACATCACCCACCCATGAATTCACATCACCCACCCATGAATTCACATCACCCACCCATGAATTCACATCACCCACCCATGAATTCACATCACCCACCCATGAATTCACATCACCCACCCATGAATTCACATCACCCACCCATGAATTCACATCACCCACCCATGAATTCACATCACCCACCCATGAATTCACATCACCCACCCATGAATTCACATCACCCACCCATGAATTCACATCACCCACCCATGAATTCACATCACCCACCCATGAATTCACATCACCCACCCATGAATTCACATCACCCACCCATGAATTCACATCACCCACCCATGAATTCACATCACCCACCCATGAATTCACATCACCCACCCATGAATTCACATCACCCACCCATGAATTCACATCACCCACCCATGAATTCACATCACCCACCCATGAATTCACATCACCCACCCATGAATTCACATCACCAGAATTCAATCCCACCCACCTGAATCTTGCAGGCGTCAAAGGTAGGTCGGGACCTGAGCAGCTGTGACAGCAGCAGCATGATACCTCCGTCCCTCACGATCCAAAACAGAGAAGCTGAGACAGCAGCAACTGTGAGAGGCAGCCACTTACCTGGATCTTGCAAGCATCAAAGGTAGGTCGGGACCGCAGCAGCTGGGACAGCAGCAGCATGATACCTCCATCCCTCACGATCCAAACAGAGCAGCTGAGACAGCAGCAACTGTGATAGGCTGCCACTTACCTGGATCTTGCAAGCATCAAAGGTAGGTCGGGACCGCAGCAGCTGGGACAGCAGCAGCATGATACCTCCATCCCTCACGATCCAAACAGAGCAGCTGAGACAGCAGCAACTGTGATAGGCTGCCACTTACCTGGATCTTGCAAGCATCAAAGGTAGGTCGGGACCGCAGCAGCTGGGACAGCAGCAGCATGATACCTCCATCCCTCACGATCCAAACAGAGCAGCTGAGACAGCAGCAACTGTGATAGGCTGCCACTTACCTGGATCTTGCAAGCATCAAAGGTAGGTCGGGACCGCAGCAGCTGGGACAGCAGCAGCATGATACCTCCATCCCTCACGATCCAAACAGAGCAGCTGAGACAGCAGCAACTGTGATAGGCTGCCACTTACCTGGATCTTGCAAGCATCAAAGGTAGGTCGGGACCGCAGCAGCTGGGACAGCAGCAGCATGATACCTCCATCCCTCACGATCCAAACAGAGCAGCTGAGACAGCAGCAACTGTGATAGGCTGCCACTTACCTGGATCTTGCAAGCATCAAAGGTAGGTCGGGACCGCAGCAGCTGGGACAGCAGCAGCATGATACCTCCATCCCTCACGATCCAAACAGAGCAGCTGAGACAGCAGCAACTGTGATAGGCTGCCACTTACCTGGATCTTGCAAGCATCAAAGGTAGGTCGGGACCGCAGCAGCTGGGACAGCAGCAGCATGATACCTCCATCCCTCACGATCCAAACAGAGCAGCTGAGACAGCAGCAACTGTGATAGGCTGCCACTTACCTGGATCTTGCAAGCATCAAAGGTAGGTCGGGACCGCAGCAGCTGGGACAGCAGCAGCATGATACCTCCATCCCTCACGATCCAAACAGAGCAGCTGAGACAGCAGCAACTGTGATAGGCTGCCACTTACCTGGATCTTGCAAGCATCAAAGGTAGGTCGGGACCGCAGCAGCTGGGACAGCAGCAGCATGATACCTCCATCCCTCACGATCCAAACAGAGCAGCTGAGACAGCAGCAACTGTGATAGGCTGCCACTTACCTGGATCTTGCAAGCATCAAAGGTAGGTCGGGACCGCAGCAGCTGGGACAGCAGCAGCATGATACCTCCATCCCTCACGATCCAAACAGAGCAGCTGAGACAGCAGCAACTGTGATAGGCTGCCACTTACCTGGATCTTGCAAGCATCAAAGGTAGGTCGGGACCGCAGCAGCTGGGACAGCAGCAGCATGATACCTCCATCCCTCACGATCCAAACAGAGCAGCTGAGACAGCAGCAACTGTGATAGGCTGCCACTTACCTGGATCTTGCAAGCATCAAAGGTAGGTCGGGACCGCAGCAGCTGGGACAGCAGCAGCATGATACCTCCATCCCTCACGATCCAAACAGAGCAGCTGAGACAGCAGCAACTGTGATAGGCTGCCACTTACCTGGATCTTGCAAGCATCAAAGGTAGGTCGGGACCGCAGCAGCTGGGACAGCAGCAGCATGATACCTCCATCCCTCACGATCCAAACAGAGCAGCTGAGACAGCAGCAACTGTGATAGGCTGCCACTTACCTGGATCTTGCAAGCATCAAAGGTAGGTCGGGACCGCAGCAGCTGGGACAGCAGCAGCATGATACCTCCATCCCTCACGATCCAAACAGAGCAGCTGAGACAGCAGCAACTGTGATAGGCTGCCACTTACCTGGATCTTGCAAGCATCAAAGGTAGGTCGGGACCGCAGCAGCTGGGACAGCAGCAGCATGATACCTCCATCCCTCACGATCCAAACAGAGCAGCTGAGACAGCAGCAACTGTGATAGGCTGCCACTTACCTGGATCTTGCAAGCATCAAAGGTAGGTCGGGACCGCAGCAGCTGGGACAGCAGCAGCATGATACCTCCATCCCTCACGATCCAAACAGAGCAGCTGAGACAGCAGCAACTGTGATAGGCTGCCACTTACCTGGATCTTGCAAGCATCAAAGGTAGGTCGGGACCGCAGCAGCTGGGACAGCAGCAGCATGATACCTCCATCCCTCACGATCCAAACAGAGCAGCTGAGACAGCAGCAACTGTGATAGGCTGCCACTTACCTGGATCTTGCAAGCATCAAAGGTAGGTCGGGACCGCAGCAGCTGGGACAGCAGCAGCATGATACCTCCATCCCTCACGATCCAAACAGAGCAGCTGAGACAGCAGCAACTGTGATAGGCTGCCACTTACCTGGATCTTGCAAGCATCAAAGGTAGGTCGGGACCGCAGCAGCTGGGACAGCAGCAGCATGATACCTCCATCCCTCACGATCCAAACAGAGCAGCTGAGACAGCAGCAACTGTGATAGGCTGCCAGCATCAAAGGTAGGTCGGGACCGCAGCAGCTGGGACAGCAGCAGCATGATACCTCCATCCCTCACGATCCAAACAGAGCAGCTGAGACAGCAGCAACTGTGATAGGCTGCCACTTACCTGGATCTTGCAAGCATCAAAGGTAGGTCGGGACCGCAGCAGCTGGGACAGCAGCAGCATGATACCTCCATCCCTCACGATCCAAACAGAGCAGCTGAGACAGCAGCAACTGTGATAGGCTGCCACTTACCTGGATCTTGCAAGCATCAAAGGTAGGTCGGGACCGCAGCAGCTGGGACAGCAGCAGCATGATACCTCCATCCCTCACGATCCAAACAGAGCAGCTGAGACAGCAGCAACTGTGATAGGCTGCCACTTACCTGGATCTTGCAAGCATCAAAGGTAGGTCGGGACCGCAGCAGCTGGGACAGCAGCAGCATGATACCTCCATCCCTCACGATCCAAACAGAGCAGCTGAGACAGCAGCAACTGTGATAGGCTGCCACTTACCTGGATCTTGCAAGCATCAAAGGTAGGTCGGGACCGCAGCAGCTGGGACAGCAGCAGCATGATACCTCCATCCCTCACGATCCAAACAGAGCAGCTGAGACAGCAGCAACTGTGATAGGCTGCCACTTACCTGGATCTTGCAAGCATCAAAGGTAGGTCGGGACCGCAGCAGCTGGGACAGCAGCAGCATGATACCTCCATCCCTCACGATCCAAACAGAGCAGCTGAGACAGCAGCAACTGTGATAGGCTGCCACTTACCTGGATCTTGCAAGCATCAAAGGTAGGTCGGGACCGCAGCAGCTGGGACAGCAGCAGCATGATACCTCCATCCCTCACGATCCAAACAGAGCAGCTGAGACAGCAGCAACTGTGATAGGCTGCCACTTACCTGGATCTTGCAAGCATCAAAGGTAGGTCGGGACCGCAGCAGCTGGGACAGCAGCAGCATGATACCTCCATCCCTCACGATCCAAACAGAGCAGCTGAGACAGCAGCAACTGTGATAGGCTGCCACTTACCTGGATCTTGCAAGCATCAAAGGTAGGTCGGGACCGCAGCAGCTGGGACAGCAGCAGCATGATACCTCCATCCCTCACGATCCAAACAGAGCAGCTGAGACAGCAGCAACTGTGATAGGCTGCCACTTACCTGGATCTTGCAAGCATCAAAGGTAGGTCGGGACCGCAGCAGCTGGGACAGCAGCAGCATGATACCTCCATCCCTCACGATCCAAACAGAGCAGCTGAGACAGCAGCAACTGTGATAGGCTGCCACTTACCTGGATCTTGCAAGCATCAAAGGTAGGTCGGGACCGCAGCAGCTGGGACAGCAGCAGCATGATACCTCCATCCCTCACGATCCAAACAGAGCAGCTGAGACAGCAGCAACTGTGATAGGCTGCCACTTACCTGGATCTTGCAAGCATCAAAGGTAGGTCGGGACCGCAGCAGCTGGGACAGCAGCAGCATGATACCTCCATC